TAAAAATATTCTTCTGAGGGCTGGAGAGATGGCTCAGTAATAAAGAGCATTTGCTGCCTTTCCAGAGGACCTGGGTTTGGTTCTCAGCACCCACATCATGTGGCATACAACTGCCTGTAACTCCAGCCCCGGGGGAACTGACCCTCTCTGGCTTCAAGGGCACCTGCATGAAAGCAGTGCGCACAGACTCGCCCAGGCATACATACATACACATAAATGAAAAATCAACATTTAAAACTTATTTTAACACTCTGCCTTAGTGGGGAGATGTAGAGGGGCAGCTAGGAGAGAGCTGGCCTAGCTCCTGTCTGGCTGGAGATCTTGACCTTAGTCTTCATAACTCTAGCTTCTGATCTGGGACTGTGTGGAGTGCTGAGAGTGGGGAGCAGAGGCAGGGGCTGAGCTTTGAGCCCAGGCATGATGTTGGGTCTGGTATTTGCTCAGAGAAAGCTGTTTCTTCCACAGAAACATGTGCTTAGTCTCAAAGGCTACAGGGTCTACACAGCTTTACATCAGAGCTGGATATGAAGTTGAGCTGAGCCTGACAGGCAGGCTGGGCTTATGGCCCACCCGATGTGCAGCCCACATCCCCGAAAGGCCTGCAGGCACGAAGGGGGTCAGCCTCCATGCGGGTCAGAGGTCTTTCTGGCCTTGAGAGTGGGTTGTGGAATGCCTCCAGGGTTGACAAAACAGAGAAAGCCAGCGTTTGTACAACAGGCAGGCATCCAGAAGGTCAGAAAGACTGGAAGCCAGCAGGGAAGCAGATTCATGACATCAGACTCCAGCAGACATGGCTGCCATCCCACTGTGGGCCTGCCTTCAATCTCCCTTGCCCTGGCAGGAACTTGAATCTGAGTTAGGCTGACCCAGTGAATTGCAGTGTAGGGACACTGAGACACCTGATGGCAGAGGATGGGGACGGAAGGGGGTTGTATACAGACAGAAGACGTGAATGCTATCAGAAGCACTGTCTGTGCCTGGGCTCCTCCTGTGGCGCTGCCATGCTTCCCATGCCACCCTGGCCTCCCTGCCTGCTTTTTTGGTGCTCGCTGTGTGCCACTTTCCTAAACACCGTAAATCTGAGCTAAATGGAGTGATGCTGCTTTTGTGCCTAGGCAATCAGCATCACAAGCAACACAGTAGCAAGGGGCAAGAAAACTTTTGGAGCCCAAACAAACAAAGTGAAATGCAAACATCAACCTAACATCTAGGACGGAGTTCTGCATGCCAGCAGAGGTAGATATTACTGGATGCTTGTGGAAGACTGTAGGAGGTATAGGGGAAAATGCTTGGAATGCTACCCTGTCATTTCAGCTCTCTAGCGGCAGAGAGTGGATAGCTTCTGAGGCTAGCTTAAGTCATATATAAAGCTCTAGTCAAAAGATAAATGGCCGAATCCTAAAGTCAAGAAGACTGTACTATATGATCACTTGCCAAGGCACAAAGTCCGTCTCTAGTCCACTGTCCCTGATGTCATTTGGCTCAAACCCTGTGGACCAGGAAGGTGAGGACCACATTCAAGTTGTCTCTGCGTTTTCCCTTACCCATGATACTCATGGTGGGAGCCCCTTCTAGCCCTTTGACTGGTTAGTTTGCATTGAGCCGGCCATACTGGGCATAGAAGCCAGAAACCATGTCTCCTGAAATCGCATCTTCATTCCTCCTGCTTCTCAGGATCCAGAGCTTTGATGTTCTGGCTAACTCACCTCTGGGAGAGCTCCCTGTGCAGGCTGAGGTGCTGGGCACATCATTTAGTAACTCAATGCAAGCTTTGGTACAGGTGGCCCAGGGGTCAAGAGTTCAAGTTTTAGAATTACACATCCCTGCATTCAAGTCCTGCTTGTATAGGTTACTGGCTGGGCAACCTCAGTTAAGTTACTTAGCCTTTCTGAGCTTCACTTTACTCCTCTATAAAGCAAAGGTAGAAAACTATGGCTCCTTTTGGAAGATTAAAGAACACAGTGCCTGAGATAATGTTCCAAGGAGCCCAGCACAAACAGGGGGGAAGAAGCCTCCTTCCAAGCTCTGAGGCTTGAACTGGGACCTCTCATCTCATTTTCTGCTCCTTGGCTGGGACTCATGCCATCAGCCTTCATGGTTCTCTGGTCACTGGGTTCACAGGATTCATACCCAATGTTGTCCTGGGATTCCTGCCGCAGAAGCAGGCCGTGGTATGTTTCAGCAGCTGAGGCAATTTCCTGTAACAAAGCTATCTCTTTTCATGTCTGTATCTACAGCTATAGCTATCCCACTCTCCTACAGGATTGGTTGTTTTTCTCCAGAATTCTGACTTCTATAAATAGCTCCAAGTGGTGAACTCAGGCAGGCCAGAAATAAGACTTGAGTGGGCAGAAATGACGTATTAACTTTTGTCACCTCTGGGTACTGTGCCATCCTGAATGGAATATCTAGAACGCAGAATGCTGAGTGAGTGACATAAAGGACCCAAACCACCATCCCAGGGGTGGACCAATCCCATTCACATGCTTTTCTTCCTGTGGAGATCATGCCCTTTACAGAGCCAAGGAGCAACAACAACTGACAACCTGGGGCGCTGGGATATACACAGGCCAAGAGAAACTGCGAGTTCTAGAGAATGTGTGCCTGTGGAAGGTTACATCTGGCTTGTCCTGCTTAAAAGATGAAAACCGAAAGCCAGCCCAGAGGGAAGGGAACCACTCTTAGGTGAAGTCTTTGGAAACATTTCACCAGAGTATAAATGAGTAATAGGATTTTAAATGTGAAGAAATTTTAAAGAACCTTCTGAAATGGAGAGGCTGCCCAGGTCTCAGCAACGGAAAAGCCAAGCAGGAGCACAGTTAGGAACACAGTGTGTGGATGAATTGGAGGCTTCTGAGGAGAGCTGCCTAGCGTTGCCCTGTGAGCCATGATGCTGGTGGAAGGCTGCAGCTAGATGGGGTGGAATGGGTGTTTCTTCCACAGCCAGCTGGTCCACAAGGAGCTACCACCCATGTCCTCTTTAATCTGAGCTGAGGTTAGCTGAACAGACTACATTTGGACTAAACTGATCCTTAGAGTCCAATTTATAAATATAAGCACCTGTCAAAACCACCTAAAGACACAGGTAGATTAAGGTGTCTGTCTCAAATGATAAACTAGGTCCTAATCCCATCTTCCTATAATTAGCGATGCCTAATCACACATGAAGACTATTCCTTCAGGCTAAAAGCTCACTCCCCAAACTATTGCCTCCAAAGTGTCTCCATATTAGGTCGGCCTTCTTGGCTATGCAGAAGAATGAGACTTGGGGAGCTGTTGTCTAGCTCCCCCCAGCCCCTGCTCAATCATCCATGAAGTTCTGCTTCCACAGTTTTAAGAAGAACTTTGTACATTTATCCAGAGAAAAGCTGGCTTTAAGGTTGATTATTCTTTTAGACACACACAAGAAATCCATCACGTCTCTCTTTTCACTCAGAAAAAGAAGCAGGGAGAGAGCAACTGCCTCACTGACTGGTTTTTGTACGGGCGCACTTTTTACATCCATGTTACGCACATATCTGAAGGGACAAAAGCCTGCTCCTAGATGGAGATCCCATCTTCATCTATGGCTACTGCTAGTCTCCTCACAGAAAAAAAAAAGAAAAGGAATCTAGGCAAACTAACAAAAACTGGTCCATCAAATTTATCCAATAGAAAGAGAAGCTGTTTACTGGTAACTAAATGCAGCCATCTTGAACTTCTGAGAATGTTCTGTTGTTCAAGGTCAAGGCAGCCCACAGTCCAGCTTCATTCTTCCTCACAGCACAGAGACAGGGATACCCACAATTCCTAGCAATCGATAACAATATGCAGCCCCATACATTTTAGACATTATCTTTGTATGGGAGAGTGAAAAGGATTACAGGTTCTGAGATGGAATAAGTACAGTCTGATGTTTTCTACCCTATGACTGGGGTACATTTAACTCTCTAAGCCTCTTTTCTCCTGTGGAGATTGGAGTCATGATACCCCTTTCCTAGTAATCTTGAGAGCCCCGTATTAACAAATGCGGCCCTTCTAATGTAGCGCCTGGTTCTTAGAAGGACTCAGTCACCCAATCCCTGCTCTCCTGTGCATCTGCCTTGCCCAACTCTGCTTTTCAGTCTCTCTTGGCAGACACCCTAGGCAAAGATCAGGGCCTTAATGGAGCCAGATGATAATGAAGGGGGCTCACTCTTCACCTCCTTCCTGTTCTGCATTTTTTTTTTTTTTTTGTTGTTGTTAGTTTCTTATTTTTTAAGTATATTTGATCACAACCTGGGGTTGTCACTGGCAAAGTCTGAGCTTTGCCAAATGCTGGAAAGTGAACGGAGAGGGCTGGCTTCAGGTAAAGAGATCATGTAGGGATCTGGAGTTGGGGAGGAAGAATCAGAAATGTGTATTTTTTGGGAAGAAGGGAAAGAAGCCAGGACACAGGGAAATACAGACAATCCCTGTTGACGACTGAGTACATCCTTCATGTGACCTATAGGAGGGGAAAGGCCCAGCAGACAGGAGCCCTGCCTTCTGTCTGTGTGATAGCTCTCTGAAAGACATGCAAGACACTGAGAAAGACCAGCTATTGTCCTCTCTAGGTACAAACCAGAAAGCCATGTGGCACATGCCTTCAGTTCCAGCACTCGGGAGGCAGAAGCAGGTGGAGCTCTATGAGTTCAAGGCTAGATGGATCTATGTAGTGAGTTCCAGGCAAGATAGGGCTGCATAATGGGACCCTGTCTTAAAAACAAAAACAAAACCACAAAAACTTCAAACGTAAGGAACAATTGTCTGTGTTTGGTCAGGAAAGACTTCTTGAAATTGGCAAGTTTTAAACACTTCGAAGGCACTGAAGGTGAAGGGCAGAAGGGAAGAATTCAGTGTCTGAATCAGCGGATACAAAACCCCTAAATAGTGCTCAGGACTTCTTTCTCTCATTCAGTGCTTTTGAGTCTCCTGTCCTCTGAAGTCTCTTTCACAGTCCAGCAGACCTGCTCACAAGGTTGGGTCATGAACGGACTAACCTCACTGGATCGGAGAACTCCGAAGAATGGGTAGAGGAAGGCAGGCACGAGGGCTGCAGCTCCAAGAGGCACTGCCTCGGACACCCAGTACACGGCGGTCACAAGCAACACGTAAGCACACGCAGCCTCCTGGGAGGGGAGGAAAGACGAGCTTAGTTAAGGGGACAGTGGATGCCATGGAGCCTCCAAATGAGGCCCAGGGCCAAGGCAATAGACATTAATAAGCCCTATAAAGATGCCAGGATACAGTCCTGAGAGATGCCATGCTGACATTGACCATTGTCAGTAGAAGTGGGTAGAAGTATGGCTGCTCATTGGAAGGACCAGAGTTGCGCATGTAGTTGGTTCACGTATCCAGGTGGACCCTGGACTTTGATAGAGTCCCATCTCTCATGATTCTTAAAGCTGAACAGTGTAGAGGGTGATGGTTGACCTCAGCACAGCATTTGGGGCCAGGTTCACAAAGTATAAAGGTGGAGTTTAAAGCTTTAATTGGTGCATATTTGGATCAAGTTGTGGGAGGTCCTTGGGGGAAGCGGAAGACAGGTCAGTTGTGTGTACGACTGGTTCACATGTGGGCTGTGGGGCAGCCATCCTAAACTTCAACATATGAAGATTTTGGGGCATCTGAAAGGAAGTGGTTTGGTAAGAAGTAAGATTTGAAAATAATCCACAAGATGGCTTCCCTACTGTGTTCACGTAGCCTCTGGGAAGGGTGTCTGTCTCAGGGCTCTTTGAGGAAGGCCAGCAAAGCCTTGAATCCATCCTGTCTCTAGCCTCATTGGATTTATATACTGGTGTTATATTTAAAATTTCCCTTGAAATATAAGCAGGCTTTACTTAAAGTTAAATTATCTTTAAAATATTTATTCAAACAATTTAATTAAGTAGGGTTTTTATTTGTTTGTTTGTTTTGCTTTTGTTTTTGAGGGACAGGGTCTTGCTATATTGCCAGGCTGGTTTTAAACTCATGGGTTTAGTGATCCTGTTGAGGCAACCTCTGGCATAGCCAAGACAAGAGGTTTTCACTACCACATCTGGCTCAGATGTTAATCCAGTGAATTGTTAGGCAAGAATTGTTGGCTATTTTCCCCTTCAGCTCTCAGTCTGAGCTCATCCCATGTGCTAGCAGTGAGTGACAGTGAGGGGGGGCTTGTGTAGACTCTAGGGGAGCATGTAGCAATCCCCAGACTGAGAGGCTTATTTTAGAGGAGGGAGAACAGACTTGTCATTTCTCAGCCTTGTTTCTAATGACACTTGGGATGAGCACATTCTTTGCTCTTGAGCCTTCCTGTGTGGTGCACTGTGCCTGGTAGCACCATTTCTCTCCTTCCACTTAGCTATCAGTAGAAGGAAGTCGCCATGTGCTCATGGTCCATATTGCCCCATGGAGACTTCTTTCTCCTTCTCCTCTCTCCTCATGGTCCCTACCTGAGACACCAGGAACCAAGGCTTCGCCTGCCTCTCTTCTACCCAGTGATAAGCTGTCTAGCTTTTAAAGTAAGCAATCAGAGATAGTAGGAGAGAAAAGTTTACACAATATAATTCAGTGTATGTGGGGATGCACTTGTCTGGACTGCAAGCAGATCTTGGGGTTCAGAATTTAACATCTGAATACACAGAGCTCCAGACCAACTTCCAACACCCACCCCTTCCCAGTTATGGCAATCCCAAAAGGTGCTCACTGTCCTTGGAGGCCATGTCCATGGTTTTGATGCCATAGAAACATCCTTCTACAAAGGGCATAGAATGCTATTCATCTGTGTGAGATAAGAAGGGTGGGAAATGTGCAAATTTATCAGTATTTTCCTCAACTCACCCCAAACCACACTATGCAACCAAAGAGTAGAGAGGGTAAAAAAAAAAAATACATCATTTTATCAAAATCCCACCCTTCTTAGCTTTGGCTTCCAGCAATGCTGATTGTGAAAACGGTGCCAACGAGTGGTCTTGAGGAAACTTAGGAGGCTTACTCTTGGGGGGTGGGGCACTGTCCAAGATCGTAATGGTTGCAACATTCTGAGCTGCACAGAGGACAATGAGAACCTAAGGCTTGATGTTCACATAGGGTGCAGGTATGATCTGGCCCCAGTCAGCTTGCCCGTGAAAGAACCTGATGAGTCTTGCTCCATTCCTGGACAGCGGGAGCTTTCAGCTGACTTTGCTGGAAAGGACTTTGCTCCCTCTGGGTAGTCATGGATTATGGCAGGTTGGGGTTAGGAAATGGGAAGTGAGCCCACTGTTGACTGTTGCTCTCACTGAGATTTCCTCTAGGGTCAAAGGGTCAGATGAAAGATAAAAACATTTGGGATTGCTGATAATAACATAGAACTGATATCTTTTGGAAAAGAATGCATTTTAGAGAAATGGCCTCCTTGTTGTAGACACAAAAAGTCCTAGCCCATTTTTTCCCTTTTGTGGCAAAAAGACAGGAGGAAGGGTTTTAATTCTAGGTTACGATAAAGGGGCAGAATGTCAGAATGTTGTCTGTCCCTCACTGGGATGCCCCTACTCTGCTTGTTTTACAGGGCCCCAACTTAAGTGACAAAAGGAGAGAGACAGAGCTGCAGGAAGGAGGAAGGGAGAGAGACAGACAGAGAGAGACAGAGAGAGAGAGAGAGAAAAGAGTAGGGGGGAGAGAGAGAATAACAGAGTAAGAGGGACTGATTTTCTGCTGTCATCATTTGATTTGAACTGGGAAAAGTTAGGTAGGCAGAGAATCTTTTTAGCTGTAAATACTGTTTCCTGCAGTATTAAGAACAGGGCACTACCATTGTTTTTGTCTCACTTTCTTTAGAGTAGAAGGATGAACGGCATCTTTAGAGCATCTTTTGTCCATAGTTTGCCCACAGAATCCACAGGTGACTGTGGACGCAAATACCCCTGGGCCTCTATAGGGTTCCTTGCAGAAGAGTTGTACTGCTGCATTTGACCAGATCTGGCAGGTAGATAAGTTTATGCTGGCTGATAGGTCTCTCTTCTCTCTCTCTCTCTCTCTCTCTCTCTCTCTCTCAATCTGTGTGTGTGTGTGTGTGTTGCTCTGGAAACCCAGGCCCCACATAAACATCCAGGTCAGGAATGCCTTTAATAGACAGTGTTTGTTTCTTTTTATTCCTGCATAAAATTAGCACTGCAACCAGGCATGGGAGGAGGATTATGAGTTTGAGGCTAGCCTGGGCTAAATGGCAAGACACTATCAATAGAACAGAACCAAAACCCAACAAACAAACAAACAAACGAACAACGTAAAACAAACAATAAAAAGGGAACGTGCTCAAAGTGGCATTTTCTTATGAAGAGAGCTTTCTATCTTCCTACCTTTCCTAGTTTAGCTTAGGTTCCCTTTCAGGAGGTTCACGCTTCACTGCGCTCAGTTATTCCTCACTCAAACCTTACTAGAGGGAGCTTGAAGTCTGTTCATCTGCTGTCACAAGTGACTGAGGGACACTTTGAAGAATCTCCTTTGGAAGCTTGGATGCTGAAGTGTCAAATGAATGTCCTTTTAGGTGATTCCCTCTCTGCTGAGGATCAAGTCTAGGGCCTGGTGATTCCCCTCTCTGCTGAGGATCAAGTCTAGGGCCCTTTGTTTGCCAAGCAAGTGCTATATGCGTGACCTCAACCTCCAACCCTGCCCTCTTCTTCTGAAGCATCATGGAGTCTAGACTGTAAAGAACTGGGCAAGGGAAGAGGAAAAGTCATTTTGACACCTCCTAAAATGTGGCTATGGCTTGTCACTTGGAAGAATCAGCAAGTTGCAAGCTAAGGGCTCCTGCTCCAGCTTCTGCTAAGCTCCTTCTCTCAAGTGCAGCCCCGATCAAGCAAACCCACCTGGGAATTCTAAGGATTTTAATATCCAAAGTTCAGTGTTGGGTTCAAAGGGTAGAAGAGTGGCCAGAGACAAAAGCAGCACAATGCACCTGGTTTGTGCTGCCTGTGGGCACTCATCAAGGTCCCTAAAGGTGAAGGCTGACGGGGGTGTGGACAGGCAGGGCTTCCTTAATACTGCTTGGTAGAAGATGGTAATGTGTCTCTATGGGAATTTTCTTAAACTAACCTGACATTGAGGGAAAAATACCATGAAAAGAAAATTCAAAACAATTAAGTCTATGTAGACAAAGCAGAAAATTAACTGTTATAAAAATGTCATTGGCAATCACTGCTAATCTCAGACCTGAGTCATTTGGTGCCTCCTTGGCATTCTGGAATATTTATTTTGCTAAAGATTTAAGTCAGTTTGTATTTAACAAGACCACGATAATCCCCTGTGTTTTAACTTTTTGAACTTAATCTTGGTTACCCAGTCGCCCACAGAACCTTGTGGGGGGTATTCTGGTAGTTAACCTGCCTTAGCTTATTTTTTCCTAAAGTCTCAAGGACAGGGCCAGCTGAATGGGGGGGGGGGGAAGCTCTACCTCCCAAGACAGGTGAGGAGATAGAGGGGGAGGGAAGGGAGACCATGAAGGTCCAAGAGGCTGACTGAATGCAAATGAAGCTTCAGTTTCTTTGCTCCCAAACTCCTGCTTTAAAATTAGGTCACAGTCTGGAGTTCTGGGGCTTGCATTTCTGTTTTCTTGTTGCTTTAGATAAGAGCAGAGAAGAAAACACAGAAGATGCAGATAGTCTGAGGGCCAAAAGCATGATACCAGAGTAACGGCCTAAGCTGTGCTTTCAACTTCAATATGCCCTTCCCAAGAGTTTGCAAGGAAGGCTCCAGATGGCCATTTTCATATTCTGGTCGTCAGAGACCACCACGACCCATGGCAGACTCTGGACAGGCTCCATCCCAGTCCCACCTCTTTCTGGGTTGATAGTGAAGAGCTTTTTTGCATTTTAATTGCTATCACATAAAGATAGCCAGGGGATGAGAAATAAGGGCTGCCCAGCCTGTCCTTTTTATGGGTTCAACCACCACTCCTGGTTGAGCTGCAGTCATTTCAGCTAAGGACTCCCAGTCTATGGGGGCGGGAGGGCAGAATTGGGAGAGCCATCTTGAGACAGGGGATTGGAAATGGTGGTTTTAAGGAAGAAAATACTTTGGTCTCTTCCAGAAAAGTGTGACAATTTCATCCAAGTCTCCATGAAGTCTTTTTGGGGTGGCCACAAGCATTCACTCCCTTCAGACCTTCCTCCTTTGCTCCCCGACTTGCCCTGAAGCCCTGACAGGGTAAGCACGCTGCTACTTACGCTGGTGGGGTAGATCGTGGGCAGGGGCAGCAGCAGCAGCGGCACACAGATGACCAAGAGCAGCTTTCTTGCTTGGAGAAGTCCCCGCAGCAAGCCCATGGTGGACCTGTCTGGACCGAGTCCTCGAAGGCCTGCGTTCTCCTCTGTTCCACACCGCCCCACTCGCAGTCCAGGAAGACTTCTCACACCGTTCCCGGCTTCCGAGAGTCAGTCCTCATTGGTACGGTTGAGCAGAAAAGCAGCGTGGCTGTCCCCAGTTTCCACGGAAAGCTGGGCTCCTTGCCTTCCGCCTTAGGTGGGAATGAGCCGCATAGTGATATGGCCATCGAAAAGGAGCCTGGGTAAGGGTTATACACCGGGGCGGTGGGTTCTCTCTCTAGCGTTAACAGGAGGGTGGCCTCATTCTCCAGGTCAGCAAAAGCCCTTGCAAGCAATGAGCTTGCAGCTGCTGGTCAGCCTTGAAGAGTCATTTAAAGCTTTAAAAAAGAAAAATAGTCTCTTTTCTTCTTTCCGGTGACCTGTTCGGGGGCAGCCGCTGTTTTACCTCTGACCTGGCTGACTATTGGTAAAAATCTGGTAGCCCTTCCCTTAAAGCAGGCACTGGAGTTAGTCTGAGGCACTTTTAGACCTCAGAATGGGTAGGTGGGTTTCTGTCTCTCTCTCTGGACCTGACACCTTAACTCTGTTTAATTTTCTTCCCTTCAAATTGGCCTCCTACTTATAGTTTTCCTGGAGTCTGGAAGAATCTCCAAGACATTCCTTTTTGTTTCAGGACTAAAACTAGCTGGAGGCCCACCTTTAACTTTCCTTAACCAATGGGGAGGCTGGCACAGGGCAGTGGTTCCACCCAGCTTTCAAAGCCTATCAGCAAGTTGAAAGGAATGAGCCAATATCGCATCTGAAGGCGGCCCTTGACTGGCCACAGCGGGGGCCTGCTGATTTGGCAGAAGCCAGGCGGCTTTCTGAAGCTTGTTTTTCCATTTCTCCAGCATCCCGGGGGCTGGATGTTGCTCAGCACCCTGAGCCCAATCCTGCTTCCCCAGCACTGTGGCGTTCTTTCCAAGCGTGGGACCACCTCAGGAAGGTGGCACATCTGGTGGCAGGGAGAATATGGACATTAATTCTGGAGAAATGTGTCCTGGACTGAACGGTGTTGACTTGCTGACAGGCAAAGTTTGTTTCTTGGACATTGGTGGGATGGAAGGGTCAGAGCCAGCGGGAAGCATGAGCCTGAAGGAAAGACCCTGGAATGCCTGGGAAAAAGAGAAAGGCTCCCTCTGCTCTGGAAAAGTTTAGGTGCCAGTGGGAGTGGGGCTCCATGCACCTCTCTGAGTCTCACCAAAAAAGGAAGCAGGAGGTCTTCCTTCACGGAAGCCCTGGTGAGGGACACAGTGCAGGGCCACACTGGCAATGGGAACAGGCTCATCAGTCATTAGACCTGGAATTTCTCCTGCTTACAGACTTGAAGAAATGGTTAGTCTCTCTCTCACTCTCTCTCTTTTTCATTTTCAGAAGAGACATATGGATTTGTAACAAGATGAAAAAGAAAATGAGAAAGGAAAGACCGTAACTTCTTCTAAGTGATGGTTCTTGGCAAGATTATGTCTATCTGGGAGCTGCAGAGCCTGAGCTTGGGGATCCATGGTTCATTTGAATTCACAGGGTTTGGGTACCTTGTAAGCTCTGCAGCCATAGCCCTTTGAAGACCCCTGGACTAAAAGTAGGGTTCCCAGAGAAGTGGCCTCATAAATGCAGTTCTCCTTGATTTTCAGGGCTAGTGAAACTATGGACAGATCTTTGAAGTCATCTAGCTAATGTAAGATGGGTCATGATGAGTCATTGCTACCTGCATGTCAAAGACAGGCTAGCTCAGCTACTACTGGCCTCATTTTTGTGATGGTTTGGAAATGCAGAATAAACAAGACCACATGCCTTTGATGTTTTGGTTACAGACATGAGAGAGATTGGATAATAATAAACAGCTGTAGAAATGAATGTCTCCTGTCAAATCCAGGAGCTGCTTCGAATTCCTCTGTGAGAAAATCTGAGGTAGCAAAGATTCCAGTGAGTTTAGTAATGCGATTGGGCCATTTGTATTACAGCATAGGTGGAATCTGTCAAATAAAACAAAGCAAAGCAAGTGGTGTGGCAAGGCTGGCAGCTCCCCTGGCCTGTCAGTTTTCCACATGAAGAAAACACTTTCCAGAATACAGTGCTAAGGAGTGTGGCATGGGTTCCCTGTGAAGAAGGTATCCAAAGGAGTCAAACTCTTAAAATATTTTCAGACAGAAACTCATTCTTTAGGCCAGGATGGCTCGGAACATACTATGTAGCCCAGGCTGACCCCTAACTCATGGGGATCCTCCTGTAGCAGCCTCATGAGTGCTGAGAATAGAGGTGTGACTTACCTTGTTCTGCTAAAGTAGTTGAACTCTTGGTAGAAAAAGTTGCCTTGGTGTAGGGAGAACCAGGAGGAAAGTTCAAAGGCTGTAGAATCAAGGCTTGTCAAGATGGAAACCTTTCAGAGGCCTGTCACGCATCACTGTGCACGGCTGCTGATACGGCTCACTGTCAGAGTACGTGCCCTGTGGGCAGGGGTCCTGGGTTTGAGCCACACCCCTCAGCAAAAAGAATAAGAAGGCACAAGGCATTGTGAAGATTATGTGTACGAGTGTTTGGATACTTCAACGCAGCTATGATGTCAAGTTTCATGTTTTTAAGCACAAGGCAAGGAGAGGATACGTAGTAGGATGGGCTGGGAAAGTAGGCGACACTACAGAGTCACTTAGCTGCCACTTCATCTTATACATGCATTTGTCTGACTGAGTCGAGATCTGATTCCTCAATTAAGTTCAGGTGAGGCAGCTGATACAGAGTATCAGCTTTGACAGGCTCCTCATCAAGACACCAGAGATGCAGACAGCTGTGGGCATCCCAGCTGCACAAGGAATTTCCAGACATTGAGGAAATGACAGAGAAGGTTCTGTGAGTCACAGACAAGGCTCCCCAGAAAACTTCACCCTCCAAAACGTGATTGTCATGTGAAGAGTGGGTACTCAGGAGGCAAAACAGGAGAGTCTGTGTCAAACCTGTCTCCTTTGTTGTTCACTGAGCAAAGAGTGGGGCTATTGTTTTTGGGAGGAATTATTTTGTTGGGCAGTAACATAATATTTGATTTTACATATCAATGATGTCAATATTATGAAACTTTTTTGTGTGTAAAATTAATCTGTATTTTTTTCAGACTAAAGTGACATTTAAGAATCTAGGCTACTTTGAAAATGGAGTCTTTGTTTAATCTCTAAAAGGTCATGTCCTTTTTGCATTTTTTAAGCCATTGATTGCTACAAAAATTCAGGTCCCAATTTATGAATATAAAGTGCCTTTAATTTGTGTGTGCGAGTGGGGTGTGTATGTGTGGAGTGTGTGTGTCGTGTGTATGGCGAATGAATTACCATTGATCCCAATGTTCCTTGGAATGATTTTCCTCCTCACACATCTCTAGTCCCCTCCCCCAAGTTGCTGCCCTTACAGCATGGTAGGCAGCCAGCCCACAGCTGGGTCTTCTACCAGGCACCTGGGTACAAGGATGAATCTGGTGAAGTCTCCAGGTGGAGGCAAAGCTGCCTTGAGGGTTTTTTTTACAGTAGCTAGGAGCTGAGTTGTTGCTGGTCCCCACTCACTCCACATTCAGGAAAACACACAGACTATAGGTTGGCTATTGGATTATGGGTCCAACTCTGCAAAATCTAACTGTGTCTGCATGCTGACTTTTGTTATATCTGTAGGAAACAAAGGGAACGGTATGGGTGGGGTGGGATAGACAGAGGGGAGGATATGGGGAAATTTTGAGAGGCTGGAGAGAGAGAGAGAGAGAGCAAAAACATGAAGAAGAGGGAAGGAGGGAGAAAGTCAGCATTAGAAACTGGATTTGGGAGCTGTGAAGAGAATACTCAGGAGGAGAAAGAACAGGACTGAGGATTTCTGTTCCAAGCAGGAGAATTTGAGGATGAAACACTTGGTCTGGTGAGAAATCCCTTCTTCCTGCATCTTAGTACTTCTGCAGAGAGATCATGCAGCTAGAACATGCAGGCAAAGCTCATCTGCTGGAAGGTTTTGGCAAAATTCAAAGTCATCATGCTTAAATATCATGCTCAAATATCAGACTTACTGCTGTGAGGGTCCCAGAATCCAGCTGGAGCCCGGGAGGAGAAAGAAGCCAGATCTTTGTGCTGGGGAAAAGCCATCCTGATCCCAGGTGCTTCACTCCCCACACCTATGACCTCAGCACAGAAAGTGAAGAAGCCTGGCTTGTTTAGAGCCAGGCCACTCAAGCAGGGGCCAGTGTATGGGTAACAATAAAAAGTGTGCTTTAATGACCTGGATGTGAGGGGCCAGCAGAGAACCCCAGGACCCCACACAGGATGGATAGAGCTTGCTTGGATCTTGTGTGTGAGCCGAAGGAGGGGTTTCTAACAGTTCAGCAGACCCACAGACACAGGCCCTTCCTGCAGAACCACACAGTTGCTAGATGACTGCAGTCATTTCACAGAGAAGGATTTGGGGGTTGTCTGCCTCCTTTATGAGAATGTCTCAAATAATTTAGCTATCAAACAAGGGCTGAAGACATTGCACACATACAATTTAAATATCAATCAGTAATTATTTAATATAAATAATGGATAGCTATTAAACAAACATTTTGAAAGTGAAAAATTCAGCATTTGAAAGGAAGCAATCTGTCATCTGAAAGTGACTTTTATCAGGAATAGCCAAATCACTGACAATGCTATGGTACTTTAGGACAAACAAACATCGTGGTGTCACCTCTTTCATTAGGACAGCACTATGCTTGGCTTCCATGTTCAAATGACAGGGCACTTCCATGGTCCTTCCTATTTCCTCCATCTCAGAATAACTTCAGAAAAGGCGTCAAGCCAGGGAGCCGCCATAATACTGATTCTTCTTCACTGGCTCGGGGAAATCCAAATATATCTTTCTTGGCATATTTATTTGAATGTATCTCTGCCTTGTGTTGTATTTATCATAGAACCTGGCAGAAAATGTTCATTCATCGCAGGTCCCTTAGAACCTAAGGAATCTGTCCACCAACGTCTTTTCCGGCCCAGACTCCATCCTCAGTTCTTACTTTTGGGTGTGTGTGTAAGTGTATCTCAGACCTCTGCTCATTACCAGGTAGACCAGTTGGCCTCTGGAGAGGTCTTGAAAAGCCCTTTCTTTTAGCTTGGGTAATATTATATCAAGGGTCAGATATGTGTGTCTGGAAGACAAGAGACAGAAGAGTCTGGGATGACTCATTTATCTTTGCTATTCTGTGTGGGTAGTACATACTTTCTTACTTTTGTAAGTAGAGTAGAGGATAAAAGTTCTGGAAAACTGTGTGTGCCCACCCCTGCTTCAAGGTCCTAGCATGAACCAGTCTGTTAGGAAGACACTCTAGGGCCTGAGGACTGCATCAAGTCATGTCTCAGGGCCTGGAAGAGGCTGGTGAGGGACTGGGCCCAGATGCTCTTCTGGTGCCCATCAGAGAAGGCTGCTCGATAAGCCGTGTAGGCCAGGGTCAGTGCTACCCTTTCAAAGTCTTCTTTCCCGAGGATCCCAGGGCGGCTGGCCAGGCTGGCACTCAGCCTGCGGATGTCTGGGATGCGCTTGGGGATTACACCATTGCAGACCGAGTGGAAGTTCAAGGCTTTCCGCAGGGAGGCCAGCTCCTCATCCTTGATGGAGATCTTCAGGTCTGGGCTGATCTCAATTTCAGCCAGCAAGAGCTGTGGGAAAAGATGCAATAAGGAAAAGCAAAGGCCAGATCTTCTCAAGTATAAACTGACCATCACAGATAAAATTATAACCAGAAGTTGGGAATTTAAAGAATGCAGTGCGTTGTGCTGGTGGGTAGTGGGATACAGAGATATGTCATATGTCATATGTCACTGGCTTGCAAGAATAGGGGCTGTATCTACCATCTTCATTCCTGCTTAGTGCCACGAGGAACCTGCTAACTACTCCAAGAATAGAAAGACTCCACATCCTAAGTCTTGTCCCCTGTCTGCTCTCCTCTGCCTTCCATGGCACTGCTTGTTATCTTTCTGAATCATTGATTTGTGACCTTCATCTTCAAGGCTTGGCAGGGCCTGTGCACTGGCAGTTCGTGGCCCAGGGAAGTGTCTGAAAGTTCCTCCCTGGCCTCACCATGCCACAAATGTCTGAGCTGGAAGGGAATTTGGGGGGTTACATTTAAACTCCATGTAGCAGTTGAGATTTGGGCTCAGAGACTCTTGGCCAATGGGCTGAAGTTTAGATCTTGAAATTAAAGCTCTGGGCTTCAGCCAAGTGACCTCAATGAGAAGCTAACCTCATGCTGAGGGGAGTGGGGCCTCAGGGAAGCAGGAGTAAGTGAGAGAAGGGAGTCCATGGGCTAGTACAGGCTTCTAGAAATTTAGAAGAGTTAGTGAGGCAGCCAGACAGCAGCTCTCTACAGCAGACAAATCCTCACAGACCCCACTCTGCCTGGGTCCCAGTGTGGCTTTGCTCAGACACTATTGATGAGCGATGCCCTAAGCTTTCACTTGGGACCTTCCACTCTGTGCCTGGGTGTGGTGGCAGTGACACCTATGGGATAAGCCTCACCTCTTGTTATGCCTGGACTGAACTCTGAATACTGTCATTTCTGTCAGAAAACATGGAAAGGGTGAGGTGGTCCCAGGAATCCCTTGGGTAGGCATAGGCCAGCTTCTATGCCCTCCAGGAATGAGTCTAGGTCTCTGGGTGGCTTGGGTTGATGGCTTCCCTCCACTTACCTCATAGAGTAGCTCCACCTCTTCCAGGGAGGACTGTAGGACTGGATTCAGTGGCAGTGACAAGGACCTCTTTGGCCGATGGGCAGCAGGGAACAGTGGAGCTGGAAGTGACAAGAGACTGATTTGTGGGGCTGTCATGCACATGGGCCACCCCTTTCTATTTAACCCTGATGGCAGCCCTCAAGTGTATCTTGAAGGTGGATGGATCTAAGGTGAGGCAAGGCGACAGACTCTCTTCTGGTGCCTCAGAAAGCTCTGAGGCATGTCAGACTAGGAGCTCATCAGAAGCACCCAAGGAACTGAAAAATCTGCCTACGCTATGTTTGCACTAGGAAATTTAGGTTAAAACAAAGCAGATGAGGCAAAGTAGAAAGAGGCAAGCAAAGCAGAGTCTACTAATCCCATAAGGGAGACTCTAAAACTCCTGCCTAACACATGGCACACCCGATTGCGCAAAAACAGTCAGTATTATAGTTGCTGCACTGCAGCCTTATCGTCAAAGATTGGGATTTTGGCTAGTCCAGCCATCTGAAGCAGAGATGCCAAGGATCTTTAGACAGATGACAAAGGAAAGGAAGCAGGCTGTACAAGACCTTCGCACTGGGCTCTAGGGGGCCAGCTGGCTGAGAGCTCAGAGCTTCCTCCAGCTGATTCAACAGTGTATTTTCTGCACCGTCAAGGCCATTTGGAAGCTGGGAGAAGATGGGTGGGATACTAGCGGGATGCAGGATCGAGAGTACTAGACACTGATGGAGGAGTGAAGGAGAAAGCAGAATATCGTTGACCATAGGATGACTGTGAAAACCCCAGTTCTTCAGGACTGGCTCAAACAGCCCCTGCTAGCTGTTTAGTCCCTTTGTGCACCAGACACTGGTCAAAAATTATTGACAAGCCTGTGGGTAGAAAAGAATAATGACCTTTAGAGAACCAGAGAAAGAAACGTAACAACCAGACAGCTGTGCTATGGCCCTGTGACGTGGTGCAATTGTACTCTCCCTAGCTCTTGGTGGTTACTCCGCTACTTGGTAGTGGTGTCTCCGAGCTGTGAGTAAAATGACTGATTGTGGTCAGTGCATTATCGTCAGGTGCTAAGGAGGGCAGGGGGCAGTGTAAAGCTTTTCAGAGTGATTTCCTTCAGCAACGATAAAAGGACATCTCAACCTAAAGGGACCTTCCTGAAAAGCCTGCTGTTGAAATCTCCCACTTCATAGAAAGTGGTTGGATGGAGCTTTGCTGAGAAAATGGCCTGTACAGTAGTTTCTTGTGACCCATCGCCACAAGTTTCTCAGGGCCGGGGAATGTGATTTTGTGCTTCCTGTTTGAGTCTGGGAGAGGCGGGTGAAAGCGCTCAGTAGGGTGTACGTTTTGCCTCTATCTTCTTTGTAGGAAATGAAACATGGGAACCTGGTGTAGTTCAAGGAGTGAGAAAGCCATTTCTGTGTGTTCGTGTGTGTGCATGTATGTCTACAAATATGTGCTAGTGCACTTGCTTGTGGGGCACAATCAAGAGATTGACATTTGTGTGTCTTCCCCAGTCACTTCTTCACCTTAATGTTTTGAGATGGAGTCTCTCAGTGAACTTGGGGCTCCCGGTTTGGCTAGATTGGCTGGCCAGGGAGCCCCAGGGTTCCTGCTGTCCCCATCCCGCAGCTCCGGGGCTACAGGCTCATCCTGCCGTGCCTGGCTTTCACAGGGGTGCTGAGAATTTGAACTCAGGCCTTCGTGTTTGTACAACCAGCACCTTGCCCTCTGCCCATCTCCCTACTCTCCTTTTCATGAGCCTTTCTTTTACTCCTGCCACGAGGGGCTGAAGGAGACTCAAGCTAGGACTTGAGGGCAACTTCACTCCCCCAATTCTCCTCCCAGAACATCTTTGTGTTTTAAATTTAGTGTCTGAGACTTTCCCATGAGCACTCTATTTACATCAGTCTCTCCTCTTTTCCTCCCTCCAGCTCCTCTCAGTTCCTCCCACTCCTTCTCACACTCATCCTCTCTCACTCTTTAATTATAAGTTATATATATGTACATACATGTATGTACATACATTTATAAACAGAACTTGCTGAGTTCCCTTAGTGCTGTTCATACGTGTTTAGGGTTGACCTCTGGGGCCAGCTAACCTCCTGCGGGGGTGGTATTATTGCCTCTCCTAGCATTTGCCTGTAGTTATTCTGTGGGTGGAGCCTTGTGAGAATTCCCCCACTCACACTGGCAGTTGTGTTGTTGTGTTTAAGGTCTTTAGGCAACCATGTTTTTGGGATTTCCTGGGTCACATATAGAAGACTCTGTCTCACAGAAGACATCCTATCCTTGTCCTCTGGCTCTTAGAATCTTTCTGTCCCCTCTTTTGAGATGTTCCCTTGAGCCTGAAGTGAAGGGGTTTTGTTGTCTCTCTACATATCAGTTTGGTTAGTTGTTCTCTGTGTTTTGGCCAGTTGTGGCTTTCTCTAATGGTTTCTAACTGCTTCAAGGAGAATCTTCTTTATACTGGGTGAGATCTAACTTTTATGTGAGGATAAGGATATGTGGTTAGAATGCAGTTAGAAAATATGCTGGTTCCCTTCTGGGGCCCATGGCCTCACCAGTCACAAGAGGCAGGCCAGGCTTACAGTACTGGGCAGAATTTCTTCCGTCTGAGCAGGCCTTACGTCTACTTAGATAGTTGTTGGTTACACCCAAGCCAAAGTGCCACTGTTTCACCTCTAGGAATAGCCTGTCGTTCTAGCCTTTGTTATTGTTCATAGGCATAGCTGTAGTTGGGTGGGACTGCTGATTGGTTTTCTCCCTTGGCAGCTTGCATACCATCTCTGGTCCCACTAGAGACAGTCCTCAGGGAGGAAAAGCCCAGCTCAGTTCCAGCTTAATTCTTCCTTGTCCTCTGTCACAGCTTTTTAAAATAAATTATGCATTTTATTTAGAGTATAGCTGTATGCCTGCTTGTCTGCATGTATACCACATGAAGTCAGTATTCAAGGCGGCCAGAAGAGTGTACTGGGTTTTCTGGACTGGAGTTATTGGTAAATGCAGAAGGCAGAATGTGGGCAGAAACTTGCTTCTAAGCTAGAAGCAAGACTCTTAAGTGCTGAACCATTTTTTTTTTTTTAGCTCCAGAACATCTTTCCTAGTGGAAAAATTTAAATATGCACCTATTCTCTCCTCCTTAGTGCTATAGGCAGTAGTCAGCCTCGTAAAAATAGCCACCCTCCCACAGATGGAGGAGTCGGGCTGGGGCTCTCTGTTCCATCATCATGATCATGAGCAACCTTGGAGTTCCCTAGGGAGGTTACTGTAGTCTTAGGCTGAACTTGCTTCACTTAGTCCCTTTCCTGAGGACACATCTTTCTTACCTTAGGGAACCCCTAGTTCTCAACATTTCCCCATTCAAAACCAAGCATAATGGTGGATGTTGTCATTCCTAGCAGCCGCTATTCTCGTGCCTAATGATGACACTGGTAGTCTTAGGAGTAGCCTTAGCCCTTCAGACTAGGATGATGGTTGTGTGGAAAGTGTGTGGGGTACACAGATACCTTGTTTTTCCTTTTCGTGTGTGTGTGTGTGTGTGTGTCCATGTGTGTGCACGCACAGACATGTGGGAGGCTAAAGTTGAGGTTGGGAATATTTCTTGATCACTTTTCTACTTTATTCTCTGAGGCAGGGTTTCCCAGTCAAACCCGGCGCTCACAAATACAACTGTCCAGGTGGAGCATAGGTATGTTAAAGATGGGTCCCTCCTTCCTTTTTTCTCCCATTTCCTACACTGCTCCACTTCTTGCCACTGTCACAGCTCATATTTCTACTGCTGCCTTGACCCTGTGCATTGGGTAAGGGCAAGGGGGTAAGGCTGCTGGAGGGTATCTTACTTTAGGCTGGCATCTCAGTGGCTCTACAACCGCTTAGATACGACTCTTTAGGCAAGACCTGGAGATGCTGGAGGTAGCCAGTGAGAAGTAGCTCCGCCTACCCAGGCAGCGTCAAAACACGGAGGTGAAAATTTAACGTGCGGTTCTCCCCCGCCCCCATGCTCTGGTTCATAATGTCGAAGGCTGAATCTTGCCAAAAATGCCCGTGGCTTAAACAAATGCTGACTGTGTCTGAGCTAAACATACACAAAGTTTGAAACGAGGCTTTTGCTTCCACATCGCTGGGTGACAGTCCTGTTTCCCTAGGAATCCTCTCCTGCTCACCCTCGGCACGTAGCTACCTCTGAGGCTTTTTTTGTACATTCTGCACACTTAGTGCCTTGCTGGCTTCCACCCTGCACCCCACCCCCACCCCTGCATGCCTGGAAAGGGCTCTCAGGATTGCCAGCTCCAGGAATAGGAAGTGAGTTTTTCTCATTTCCCGTCAGCTCTGCCTACTGTAAGGCTCAGAAGTCAGGCTCAATAGGAATGACTTAAAAAGAACAACTAGATGTTGAATAAAACAGCAACCCTGATTTATGGGTGCTACTGTGAGCCTTCCATGAACTGTGAGGCCAACCACTATCAAGCTTGGTATCCTCTTCCCACCAGAGGGAAGGGGAAAGTGGGGGGAGAAAATGGAAACACCACATCCCCAGGACCACTGGGTCTCAAACAAGAAGGTTGCTGGAGGCTTTGCTCAGAGTCACAGGCTTTGTGTACATTTTGTGTGTGGTGGGGTAAGCCTGGCCTACTTGCTTGCTCTTCTCCCTAGTGCTCCTGACCCAGCCCAATCATGAAGTTTCTTTTGGGGTGTGACTGTTCTCACGATGGTTACTCCATGCATCTGTCTTGGGGACACCTGGAATTCACCGGTCTCCTTGCTTAGAGTCTGCTGTACAGGCTGGAATGGAGATGAGGACAGAGACTGTCCCCTTCTTCCTGGGCAAATGAGTACCTGTGACACATCAGACCAACCAGCCCAGAGCAAATGATCTCACTTGCTAAGATCACACACCAGGTGAATCAAGCTACTTTAGAAACTGGATCCAGAAGCTGGTGACTCATTGATTACAGTGTCCATGACCTCTGCTAAGAAACCCCATTGGCTCTCAGACAGAAGCTGTGAAAGCCTGATGTTCATGTACTAGCAATAACCCTAGTGCCTCCACTGCGTGCCTATCAGCAGACTACATCTTTCC